GTGCGTCACCCGTGTACGTCAACGTCCGACCGGTTCTGCATACGACGGCAACAGAGGAAAGTACCCGACTCTAAGTACTTAGTACTCCGCTCGCATCCCGCCTTTCCAACGCCGTTCAAGGGCTTCGGTTGAGAAATAGAAAATAAGAGATGAATTCAACTTCATTCTGATAGCTTGAGTCCAAGAAGTCCCCGAGTCGCAATTTCGGTCGAGTAAAAAGTAATTGTGTTGAGTGCGCGTCTATACTCGTTTTCGTCTCAAGAACCGTAGTAAAAAAAAGTAGTCCGGCTCCTCGCGGAGCATTACTGATTTCCCCCTTTACGTAGAGAATTAGGACATATGTAGGTACATTTTAGATTAGACAGATGTTATCTTTTAAGAACTACTTCGCGCGGCGTATGAACAATGCGTAAAACACTTTTTTTCTTGAGGTTGTTAGTCAGCCCTAATGCATGGGCGTCGGGCGTTCCGCTGCAGATTAGGGTTGGGAGAATATTCGAATTTTCGAATAGTAGTTTCAAATAATACGCTATTCAATATTCGCTTCGAGATGAACCGCGATATTCGTGCTTTTCGAAGTGTCGATAACGAAGGCCTGGCCCCGCTGAGCGCGCTTCTTTTCAAGCACCGCTGCACTACGGACAAGCAATACTCGCTTCGCCGTCGCGCGGCCGCGTGATTTGGAGGAAAAAAGCACCGCAAATTGTGATGGTGCACGCGCCCGCCTGCCGTATTTAAAAATAAATGGAAGCTTCGTGAATGATGTTGGTACGTATACATTGCAGTAAAATTTTCAAAATTAGACGATGGCTGTCCTGTTATGCAAAAGTATATATGAAGCTGCGAGGACCTGACAACCTGCGTACATAATTCGTCCAGGTTTTATTTTAATCGGAGGTTAAATAAATGATTTTTGCATATAGCAAGATTATAAATCCCCTCGATGAGGTATAGCTGGGCATCTATTGCTTCGTCAAATCTGTCACTTCGTTGAAGTGTAGACATTGGACTTTGTGAGGTCACAGCTCATAAATAGAGTAATAGTCGGTATGCTCCACCTCCAGCCCACGCTCGTTGCCTTCAGCCGGACTTTGTCTGCGCGTGCGGCGAAATGTTATTAAAGACAGAAATCCCGCGCTCGAGGCGTATACATCTGCTTGGTTCTTAACCTGTCGCCGAGTAATTGACTGCTTTTAGAAGTGGACAAGTGGACAATTGCTCGAAGAAGTATTCGAAATTCAGTTCGAAAATATTCGTGCCATAATCGCTATTCTCTTCGAATTCCTTTCAAACCAAATATCCACTATTCGCACATTCCAAACTGTAGATGAGAAATTTGGCCAGTGCAGTACGACTGCTGGCGTGGGGTTTCTAACGTGCGTCAACCAGTACCGATACACGACCGCACGCCAGTACGATGCTCGTCCAGATCGAGAACCCTAGATACCCTGGATACTGCAGCGTGAGCTTTCGCTCCACGTACTCCGACCTGCGGCGCGCTAACACACGCGCAAGAGCATTCGTGCTGCTGGGGGACGATCAAACGCAAGGAGAACTCACTGTGAGTTTACATTGAGCCTGCGCAATAAACATCAAAACCCGCCTCTGACAGTGTTTGCGGACTGTCTTTTGTGTGATGTATTGGCAGTGTGGCCACGGCTTCAGACTCTTGCGTTCAATGGAGTCGGTCTTGTAATTGTGAAAACGTGCTAGATTTGGTGGGGTTTGGGCGTTCTTTTTCGTTGGTAAGTTCTTTAGCGTACAAGCACGCACTCGCATTGTCCGCACTAAAGGCGCGAGCATGAAGCGCTTTTGAATCGCATCAAATCTACCCAGTGAATACCTCATTAGGTAATTAACTTATTAATGAATTAGCCGGCGTAGAAACATGAGTGCGCTTTTCTTTTTATTTTTTTCTTAATTTTTAGTACAAACATGCGGTTGAAATTTAGACGGAGTGGGCTGTGCGGAACAACGTTCTTACGCTTGCGGTTGCTCGATATTTCATTAAAGTATATTCGAACTGCGAATTCGAAATATGGTTCATCCGTGTTAATGATCAACGCCTCCGAGGCGGCTACGAAGATATTATCGTGTTACATTTGCGAGATATGGAGTATATATAACTCAATACCCGTGCGCTCCTTTCCACGAAACAAAAACACCGGCGCGTTGCTGACGGTTGCTAAATCAAATGGTTACAATACATCGTAATATCGAAAGCGCAATGTAAAGAAAAAGAAATTGATAAGAGCATTTCGCAAATCCAAAACCGTTGTTTCCCTTTACGTCTATCCATCAGAGAACTGTTGCATACCACAAGGACCAGTGACCATGACTCAGTGTCACTGCAAACGAGGAAACAAAAAAGAAAGACGCCGGGATGTTTGACGAGGGCTCCTCGTTTCGCGGTAGGCGGGTCTCGAGAAAGACCCTGCCCTGCCATCTCGTCCGCAGCAGGTTTACCAAGGAAGTCAAACAAATGCCCTCTTTGATGGAAAGGACGAGCAGTTCAAGGCTGGTCCTTGTGCAACTCGCGCCCACGTGCCATCGACGTGGCGGCGGTTTGGTGTGCAATGTGGTGCCATCAGACGCGGTTTACATTACACGGAGGCAATATTACAACAGACGTAGTTATAGCTGGGTATTGTTGTTGTCTTCGTAAGAAGCAAGGTGTCCTATCTGGAGAAAAAAAAAAAAAAAAGAAGAGAAAAGGGGGGGGGGGGGGGAGGTTCTTAGAAATGACGGTAGACAAAAAACAGCTTTTCAAACTGTCACGCTTTGTTTTATCTCGGAGCTGCTTTCCAAATGGTAAATATTTTTGTAAAAATATGTTTGAGTTTGCAGAACTTTTCATACCAATTAAACAAATACAAAAAATCGCATGTAGGTTTCGATTAATTTGGACATTTTAAAAATCAAATCAAATTATTTTTGAACTATTCGAGTAAAGCCTATAATCTCCGCTCAAGTCAAGAAGCGCTCGCATTCCGAAGACACCTCTGCACTTATCCTAAACACATGCACATGCAGACGCACGCATAAACACACGCGCACAAGCACGCATTTATAGATATTGAACATGTGGTAAACCCTAACACGGGGATGGAAAAGGAAACAGTAAGAGGGCCGAGAAAAAAAAAAAAAAAAGGGACAGACAGCATCGCGAAATCAGCTACAAAATGCATTTTATGCTTGCCTTCTACACCTTCTTTCCACAGTCTTCTGAGGCATATAATTTGGCGAGAGAGTCATCCGTATATACTCGTACCAAGCGCGTCAGTTTAGCTCATGGCAACTCGCAGAACGTAACCGCAGAACCCAAGAACCTTACGGGCTCAACCTCCTTCCCTTTCCATTCCGGTGTGGATAAGCATCGTAACAGCGTGTGTGTCTTTTTTTTTTTTTTTTTCGTACTGCACCGACCAAAGTGCTACCTCGTGCTGTATAAGCACAACACGTGCAATTTGCTTTCGTTAATTAGTTCAGTTCCAAGTAATGTCTTGGGCCACTGGGCAATTTGATCGCCTCCACGTGTTTTGTGCTGCCCATTGTTCAACCGGCAACAATGGTCCTAAATTAACCAGAGAGAACGTCCAGTGTCAGGGTCGTGTTGTTTTTCTCCTTCGAAGCAGCTTGTCTTCTTAACACGTTCAGGCAAGCCAAACTATACGCGGAACGCGAGTTATTTATAACTTGCATTGTGTAGATATACGGTGAGCCATCTCGAGGAAGCTAATTAGGGGAAGTAAGGGGGCGCACAACATTTTAGTTCGTTATAAAACTCTGAACTCGAAAGGCAAAGTGCGTATAGCGTGAGTCTACGGAGAAATCTGAAACGCTGCTAGAAAGATGGTACTTATTACCATGGTCCTTAGATGAACTACTTACTGGTCCGTAAACGCGTGATGTTTCCTCCCTGGGAAAATTTGTCATCACAAGCGGCGCTGATGCAAGTAAACGTAAAGATGGGTAAGAAAATGAGAAACTTATGGGAAATTTTGAAATATTTTTAAAGCAGACGTAGCACCTTCACGTGGCGTTTCATTTATATCGAGATAATATGACCCCTAGGTCTCCAAGTGTAGCTGGCGTTTCCCATCGTCAGACTTTTCGATGGATCTGTGAGGTTACCGAATCCAGCGAATTTCTCCACGGTGATTTCTACAAACCCAGGTCCCGGCTGGGTTTCCCGAGCGATCTGATTAAGTGACTTATAAGGTTAGTAGCACGTCTCTGGTGCTCTGTTAGTCCCTATATGGAGTGACGAAAAGGATTACAGACAAGGTAATCTAAGGACCGTGCTATTACGCACGTAATAAAAAATTTTTTTTTTGTGGTGCGATTATGTAATCATTACTATACGTAACGTAGTACTACTGTATTTGCCAAATTGTTCTCTATATTGTTGAACCAGCGTTGTCCTATCTTATGGGCAGGCCGACATCTCGCTTTAGAAACATGCACAGCATCCAATCTGCCCCGTGCTATCGTTATCGCATTTTGAAAAGCTACGCTGTCGTCGCGCCAACATGCGAAGTCCATTTCGTACCAAAGGCTTATCTCTGTGTGACCAGATTTAGGGGCGACCAAAATATAGAAAGGGATTAAAAGAAGCTCAGCATCGTACATGCCCAGAAAGTACGTCGTAAGCACGGACAACCTCGGTTATGTCGCGCTAAAACAGGAAACCGGTTACTCGTTTGTTGGCAGCTCTTTTGTGTCGCAGCCACGGGGTGGAAACGGACGCCACTAAAACAACAAGAAAAAGCTCGGAACCTCCTACCCCTTAGATTAAAAGACCTCCTTCTTTCTTTTTTATGAGTCAAAGATTACACGTAGGGATAGACCCTGCATTATTAGTAAGAGGAGGACAGGTCGCGCGGCTGCTCCTCTGACGTCAACTGCGTAAAGAAGAAAACGGGTGAGAAGATCAGAACGGTGAAACAAAACAGAGAGAAAACCCCCAGCATCACCTCTCTATGGCGCCTAGTCAAACAGCCCCCCGTTTGAACGCCCTGAAGCCACTCGAGATTGTCGTCGGCCGCGCGTATTACTGTTCCGCGTTCGGAGCTGGCGCCTTATCTTCGTACGATACTACACTTCCCGACATCCACCGACACGACGGACAAGCCCGAAACTTTCAGAAAGGTGCACGCTTGCAGAGGATGTAAAGCTCGCGTCATCCGAGCGATAGCCCCGCACTCAAGACGTGTCTTCGAGTTGTGGCCGCTGTCCCACTTGCAGAGGCTCCAAGGCTCGTGTCATCCGACAGATAGTCCCAATCAAGACGTGTCTTCGAGTTGTGGTAGACCCACTCAAGACGTGTCTTCGAGTTGTGGTCTCTGTTCAGCTTCTCCCCGATCCAGCACTCGGGCATCGCGACGTGCTTCGATGAACACAAGTCGAATTATTACACGGGTTATTCACAGGAGTCGATGGTTTTATGTATTAGGCCCGGATGAAAACCTGAAGTCTGAACCCTGAGAGATGATCACCAGTCGAGTGTCCGTCTGCAAGAAGTCTACGTCTGGCTACGGGCTAACGGGCGAGGCTTTGTGCGCGCTGTTGGCAATACTCGAAATTAGCGGCCATGCCGTCGGATCTCTGGGGCGCTGTCTGGACGGCCTTTTGTGGTGGTGGTGCCGCCCACAGCGGCCCGTGATGCAAAGCTCGGCCGATGCAACGAGACCGCGACATCGGTTTCCAAGACGACGGCTGTCGTACCGGCGTTTGGCGATGATGCAAAGCTTTGAAAAGAGGGTGAGTTGCTTCGTGTGCACGCGAGACCTATAACCTCGCTTCCATTGCCTCGCGTTTTTCGGTTAACCGGCGTGTTTGGTTACGAAATGTCTCTTGTTCGCGGTGATGATTGTACACCGGCGCCAGGTTATCTGCATTCGATAGAGAGATGTGCAAACACCCGCTCGAGTGTTGCCGCCTTGTTTAGATATTTTATATATAGATATAAAACCGAACCATATTGATAAAGGCAGAGGTAATGTGAATTCACATAACCTCTGCATTCACATAACCTCTGGTTTTTGGTAATTATTCCTCATTTCTTCGTGCCTTTTTTTTATGCGATCAATTTCGTGGTTGTAATCTTAGGTTATCCTGCGATTTCATGCAAGATTCGTACGTCTAAGGTTAACAGCAAAATATTTAAATAGTAGCCAACATTTTCTTCTTCATTTTTACGAGAACGGAGAGAAGGAAAATTTATCCTTTGAGATAACTCAAGAGTGCTTGATTTATCAACCCAGCTCCATGATAGCCTGATACACCTCTGAGAAGTTTGCACGCCGGGTGACAAGGGGAGATAAGATCGATGACATTCAATAAGGCTGTTCTTTTATTACTGGTGGACGTTTCTAACACGCCGACGTTTTGCTTCCTGTAGGCGTTGTTTGTAGCGGCCTTATATTGCATATACTTCACTACTGCCTAATAAAACATCATTACGAGGGCCTGTTCGGAGGACAGTGTTATTCACGGATTATGCCTTTATAAGTAAACTGCAAAAAAAGAAGAGAGTACTGTGTTATTTTTGTTTAATAGCACTTTGTTTGGTTTGTGTGTATGTGTGTGTGTGTGTGTGTACAACTTCTGCCACAGCCTTGACGATGCAAATAGTATAATTAAGTGAATAAATAAGTATTGTATGTTACCCTTCTGTTTTTGTGCAAACTACGCCGATTAAAAATGTTAATTTCAATACTATTTTCTGTGCCCTTTAAAGGGCTACACATTCGTTTCTTTTTTAAATATGTTCTTTTTTTACACTTTAGAAAAACCGTTTCTATAATCTGTTTCGTATGGTAATAAGAACAATATTAAAGCGAAACAACAACAGCTTCGGCGTCGCTTTTAGCCAGCTATACTAAGTCTGCATTAAGCGTGGACAAACATCTAGACCGAGAGCAGATATAAAGCGCCCCTATCCAGACCGTTCTGTTAAATGAAACTCAATAAAAGCGGGCAGCAGCCCGACCAAAAACGTCTAAAAAGTCTCGACCTAATTTTTTTTAATGAGTGTTTGATATGCAGGTTGTAACTGGCTGCACCTAGGCAAAATTTGTTTTAGAGATTTTATTTATATTATCTTTATATGAATAAAATCTCTAAAACAAATTTTGCCTAGATGCAGCCAGTTACAACCTGCATATCAAACACTCATTAAAAAAAAATTAGGTCGAGATTTTTGGACGTTTTTGGTCGGGCTGCTGCCCGCTTTTATTGAGTTTCATTTATCGCTTTATATTTAGAGAAATATATTTATTTAATATACAGTTTTTTTTCTTCCTTATTTTCGCATTCAAGTAGACGGTGACTGCGTGCCGTTAACCCAATTGCGGACTACTTTTTTTTTTATTGGACAATATTCGTTACACAAAAATTCCAGAGATTCACGTCCAATTCATCTGTAGGTATACAAAAAAAAAGTAATTTTTTCCACCCCGAATAATTTTCTGCAGAACAACTTCCAGTTAACCCTTAAAAAAATCGCGAGGAAAAATAACTAAAAGCGCATCATATGTTACTGAGAACTTAATTAAGAAACGCAGGGCGTGGCGACTGCCCTGAATCTCATTATCGCTCAGCATCCAATCAGGTCGCGACATGAGCCGATAAGAACGACCACGAAGCAATCACAGAGCGCATCAAAATTCACACACACATACACACAAAAAAGAAGAAAAGAAGTACGTGGAGGGGAGAAGGAGGCGTTGCTGCTTGTCAAATATCTGTCTCGCCTTTTCTCTTCAATTTCGAGAGTCGTCAGTGAGCTGCCCGGACGCATATTCCTGTCTCGGTTTCTTTCCGACCGTTAAGATTCCTTCATTATCGTATTCCGCGCACTTTGCAGTGGGAGTGTTTACAAACCAACATGGGGCGCCGACAACACTGGCGAGCGATCGATGCACCGCGGAGACACGGGCACTGCGTGCGCTGTATACACACTCGCCGATACGCTGCGCTACGGACTCCTGCACTCTCGGAAATTGTTTCCGAGTGTGTACTGCCCCCGTGATGCACTTGGAACACTAATCATGGACCTTCTAAATTCTTATCAGATTAACGGATGAAGAAAAGGGCGATAGGTGTCAGGTGTATACGCCTTTTTGGCCCCTGAAACGGCAAGGCTTGGTACCGCGCTTGTTGAACTGATTAGATGAAGACTAATGACAGCCTCCCCGAGTGCATCGTAGGGAAGTACGCATACAGAAGCTTCTGAGAGTGAGGCTTGTGCTGTCACGTTGCTGACAAATGTAATTTTTTTTCTTATTTTTACTAGTCATAACGAAGTAATATTTTATTCGTGACTACGGCGAACTATAGGGAGCGCGCTGGTCAGGCGAAATGGTGGACGAAAGGAGGTCGTTTTCGTCGTTCAGCACCCGGACCCCCATACATTTGTTGCACTGCAGCGTAAAATACGTGTTACATATAAAAGCAAAGCGATTTTTCGACGGTAGAAACCTTCTTCTAGTCAGTGCGTAGGTATACGTATGACACGGCGGAAGCATAAGAATAATGTCTGGAAACGATGTTTGTTTCTATGCTGCCTACAAAATCAAGCCGCGATGGCAGACGACAGAGTGGAAACGACCTCCTCTCCTGAGCTTCTCGGCGTTGCTATGGATGTACAAGTTAGACGACTTTCTTTGTATTTTTATCTATTTGAATTTTCACCGGTAATTCCGGGGAGACAGGCAGGGATGAAAGCAGTCTTGTACACGTTACTAAAAAAAAGTAATCGATTACAGTTACCATTACTCTTGGCGAAAAAGTATTCGATTATATTACCTGATTATTCGACAGCAAAAGTAATTGGACATTACTTTAAGAAGTAACCGTTACTTTTCAGATTGCTTTATTGTGTGAAGACATATCTTTAGCGCTCATAACAATGAACTACTTCCAACCTCGAAACCTTGCTTTTCACAAATTCCACGTAGAGGAAATACGCGATCTTGACGTGTTTTAGACATTCTTCGTTTCTCCTTCTCCTATAGCTGCGAGTTGGTACCATAAGCAAGATCTTCTATATTTCTGTGCGTGTGTGCGTGAGGGAGCTAGTTTGAACGAAGGACTTACAAAGCTACATTCCGCCCCCTCAAACTTCGCCCTGAATGGCCTTTGTCCCGCACTGGGGCTTCCCTGGGGATTCCCAATCCCAGTCCCACCTCGAAAAGAAGAAGAGGACGTTTTACGGAGGTTGACCTTGTTTCCTACAGATCCGGAAAAACCTTTTTTTTTTTTTTCTGTTCGAAAAAAGAAGCTAATTTTATTTTTGTCATTTAAAAAAAAAGGTGTGTGCGGGGGGGGGGGGGGGGGGGGGGGGAGGGGGGGGGGGAGGAGGAGTCCCGTGGAAAAATAGTAACGGTTAGAAGTAAATTTTATTACTTCAAATAGTAATCAGATTACTCTTGTGATTACTGTCTAAGAAATATAATCAACTGATTACAAAATTACTCAAAAAGTAATCGATTACAAGTGATTTGATTTTGTGATGCGTGCGGTACAAGTCTGGATGAAAGTCAGTGCTGCCTGACGGGGTCCCCACCCCCATACAGTTCAAAACAGAGAAACAAGACAGCACAAAAAAAAAAAAATTAATAAAAGTTATGTAACGGAATCTACAGAATCCGTAAAACCAACTAATGAAGCACAAGAAAGATAGAGATCTCGGGTACGTTGAGCAGGCGGTACCTCATAAGGCCGATACTGGCCTGCACGGCTGGGCCTGTCGCGACGAGCATTCATACTACTTTCGCATCGTCAGACGCCTCGTTTGCAAGTGGCCATAAACGCCGATATGTGGTTAATCGTAAAACTGCTTGGACAACAACGGCCTCATGCATAATTTCAGAATAACCGCAACTCTACAAACGGCGACCTCGGTCGTTGAACAGGACCGCGTCGCCACGAAAGGTCCGCGGACAAGCTAAGCCCGCAGTTTACGCGCTGAGGTGCCAAGGTATACAGCGTTGTTATTGCATGCCGCTGCCTGTTTATACAGTCTAAGCTTCTTATTTCCCACCAAAAGCCCGCTGGTCGAAACTAGAAAAATAAAGAAGAAACCTAGAGAAACGGTAAAAAAGAAACAGAAAAGCAATAGGCCGAAGTTTGTTTCAGCCTATACCCTTGAACGACAACGTCTAAAAGAATCTTGATCGCGTCACGTCGAAATTGCGTCCTTAAACCAAGCACTGGATCTCAAGGCCGTATTCCACAGGGAAGCGGCCAGCTGACCCCCTCCTTCTTCTACCCCCTCTCCCCCTGCCTCTTTCCCCCGAGTAAACTTATAAACAACCACGCGAACAACATCCGCTCGCGAGCAAGTTCTCTGCCTCTTCGAAACTAGGCCGGTGAAACCTTTCCATCCGAAGCTCTGGAATTTACCCGCCATAAGAATGCCATTGACGCACACGTTGAATCCCGCTATCGAAGGTTCCAGTTGACGTAATATCGTCCACTCCACGTCTAACATGGCTTGCATCGCATCGGTCGTTTTCGACGGCAGTTTCAATAGCCGCGGTTATGACGTCCTGCTAAGAGGCATTTTATACGCTTCTTTACCGTTTTATGTCTAGTGTTTTATTCCGTGAGTGCGTACTTCGTTTTCTGATAGACTTTTAGCGGTAGTCATCTCTCGTACATGACACATTCGACGGAGGCTAATATTTGCGTTAAAAAAAAATGGGAGAATGTTTTTGCTTATTTTTATTTTACGTTAGAAACGAAAAAAGACCCGA